AATTTGAAATCTCTATTTCCGAATTTTGAAATGACACTCAGAGTGTTTATGTATAGACTGCTGGCCCTAGCTTCCGGAGGGGACAGACGTGTTGCATCGGCGCTCCAGCAGTTGGTGTTGTTTGCCAGTTCGGCCGGTTGGGGGCGGGTGTGTCTCTGCCCACCTGTGCTGACGTAGCGTTACGATGGGGGTCCCTCTCCCCCCTGTCGTCCGGGCTCAGTCTGTGGGACTAGAGTTCTCTGTGCGGGCCGGTTACCCGGAGATTGCGCTGGCTTGTGATATGCTCTCTGTCCCTGTGTTTGAGATTTATGGGGTCGAGTTGGTGACGGCCCATAGGGCGATTGTGAAGTTCACAGAGGAGGTGGCGTATCGCGATTTTCTCCAGTGATACGAGGGGCGGACATTACCCCTGCTGGATGGTGCGGGCACTGTAACCCTCTCTGATAGGAGTGGTGCACTTACTTACGTCAGTGTGCATGGGGCTCCCTTGGAGTTTCCAGAGGGTCTGCTACGGCGGTATTTCGGCCGGTTTGGCGCAGTAGTTAGTGTGAGGGTGAACGTGGTGTCTTCCAGTCCTCTTAAGGGTGTGAGGACTAACATTCGCACCCTGGACATGAGACTCCGGGCGGATATTCTGTCCTCTGTGCGCCTTATGGGGTACAACGTTCGCGTGTTTTACGCCCGCCAGCCGCGAACGTGTTATCGTTGTGGTCTTTTGGGCCATCAGGCTGCTGCCTGTTCAGCGCCTGCCGTTGCACCAGTGAATCTCTTCAGTGAAGAGAATTTAACGCCACTTCCTGTGGGGGATGATTCGGTGGATTTACGTCGTCTCTTCGGCTGAGGAAGTGCCCTCTGTTTCAGCTGTTGCTCCGCCTGTTGTTGTCGCCTCTCCTCCGGTGGTTGTGTCCTCACCTAGTGCTCAGCCTGTTCCGACTGGTGTCCCTGAGCCTCTTCCGTCTGCCGTCTGCTCGGGCCCCTCGTCTTCCGGTTCTTCCTCTGCTGCATCTGTCCTGGTCCCTGCACCTTCGCCGTCTGTGCTGGGTGATGGGGTGGCTGTGGAGCCTCCTGCTGTGTGTGGTCCGGTTCCCCCTGTGGTAGAGGCTGCTGCCGTTCTGCGTCGGGCGTCGGTTCGTCCGGCTGGTGGTGCCCGTGTTTCTGGGTCCGCATCCGGCTCTGACGATGTCCGGCCGGAGCCCAAACGTTCCAGGCGTTCGTCTACAGCCTGGGCTGATGTTGGGGACTTCAGTGACTGTGGGTCTGCAAGTGTTGACGGCGTGGATCCGGCTGAGTCGTTGTCTCCGCGGGTGGTGGTGGCGGAGGTTCATGTGCCTGCTGGTGCTGATGCCCGTGTCTCGGGTGTGTCTCCTGCTTCTTCCCCGCCCGGGGGCTCTTCACTGTGGGGTGTGGTGGCTTCCGCTGCCAGGGATGGTGAGGATGCTGGTGTTGGGCGTAGCCTGGTGGTGACTTTACGTAAAGATCCGCGCCACCATGATTCCCTGCAGTCGTCTGGTGGTGTGCCCGTGGCCGCTGATGCCCCTGTGGTGATGCCCTCTGTCGAGCCCCCTCCTGCGGTGTTGTGCTTTGTGGACCTGGAGGCCCGGGTTGCTGAGTTCCTGCTGCTTGGAAGGCCGGAGGATTTTTCTGATGGACGGGTTCCGAGTGTATGGGATAGGGTGGTGGTTACTCACGTTCGGAGGGACACTGTGTGGGTTCCATGTCTGAGGGTGTTTGTTGCCGGGGTTCCGGTTCGCATGGCGCCCCCGGTGTTGGGTCAAGCCTCCTGGAGGACGTGGCTGCTTTGGGAGGCCTTCAATGTGCGGTTCCCGCAGGACAGGTTCACGGGCAAATGTGTACACTTACCGTAGTTGTTTTTGTTGTTATTCATGGCCTGTTGTGTGCTGTGCGAATTGTCTTTTTTTTTTTCCTGTGTTTCATTTTGTTTCTGTTCATTGTTGTGTTTTTGTTGTCGGCCCTTCTGGCCGATATTTAGTGTCTTTGTATAAATTTGTATTGATTTGTTTTGTGCTGAAATGTCTTATGTTTCTTGATGTACTTTCTGTTGTGTTTTATTCTCGGTCCTTCAGGCCAGTGCTTGTATGTTGTTGTGTTTGTCCCTGTTTTGTTTTCAGGTGTGCGTTTTTTGCTTGTTTATTTTTATTGTTTATTTTGGACTCACCCTTTGTTTGTTACGGGGCGGATGGCTTGGTGTGTGTGATTTTATTACTGTATTATTTCTGTGCTGTACGTTTGACCTGGTGTTATCATATTGCTTTACCTGTTGTACGTGTTTGTTCTTTATGTTTTGTTTGGAATATATTGTTTGTCCTATTATGTTTCCTGTTATGCCTCTTGATGTATGTTTTGTTTTATGTTTTGTGATGTTACTGTGATTGCTAGTTTGCCATTATGTTATGTTTTGTGCCTTGATGAATGCTGTATTTTTCTTTGCGTATATCGTGTTTGTGTTTTGTTGTGCTATGCTGTCGGCCCTTCTGGCTGGTGGTCTATTGTTTTATTTTGTTCTGTTATGTATTCTGTATTGTTTTTATTGTATTTAACTTGCATGTAAAAAAAAAAAAAAAAAAATCCGAATTTTGAAATTACACTCAGAGTGTTTGTGCTTGATTGTGACCAACTGTATCGGGGAACATTCGTTTCAAGACCGAAACATAAAAATCTGCTTCGTAGTACAATAGGGCACCATCGTTTGAACTGGCTTTCACTCATGTTCATGGAAAGTCAATGCACTCATGTGCATTAACTCCAAGCCAGTAATAAAGCAATTCTTTGAAAAGAGGTGTCGCAAATACTTGTTATAATAAAAAGTTCGTAGTAATTAGCTACGAACTTCTTATTATAAGGTAGTTTTAGCTAGTAGACGAGGTCCAAGAGTCAGATCTACCTCCACGTAGATACTTGTAGGAAAGAACTAAAAAGTAAGCATAAGCATACCTTACCTTGAGGTGCTTCCGGGGCTTAGCGTCCCCGCGGCCCGGTCGTCGACCAGGCCTCCTGGTTGCTGGACTGATCGACCAGGCTGTTGAAAGCGGCTGCTCGCAGCCTGACGTATAAGTCACAGCCTGGTTGATCAGGTATCCTTTGGAGGTGCTTATCCAGTTCTCTCTTGAACACTGTGAGGGCCAGTTATGCCCCTTATGTGTAGCGGAAGCGTGTTGAACAGTCTCGGGCCTCTGATGTTGATAGAGTTCTCTCTCAGAGTACCTTTTGCACCTCCGCTTTTCAACGGGGGTATTCTGCACATCCTGCCGTCTTCTGGTCTCATGTGATGTTATTTCTGCGTGCAGGTTTGGGACCAGCCCCTCTAACATTTTCTACGTGTAAATTATTATATATCTCTCCCGCCTGCGCTCAAGGGAGTACAGATTTAGGCTCTTTAGTAGGTCCCAATAGTTTAGGTGTTTTACTGAGTGAATTCTAGCAGTATAGGATCTCTGCACTCTCTCCAGGTCGGCAATTTCTCCAGCTTTGAAAGGGGCTGTCATTGTGCAGCAGTACTCCACTCTAGAGAGCACAAGCGTTTTGAAAAGTGTCATCATCGAAATAGCATCTCTAGTGTGAAAAGTTCTTGTTATCCAACCTGTCATTTTTCTTGCAGTTGTGACTGCTACTTTATTGTGTTCTTTAAAGGTATGGTCTTCCGACATGAGTACACCCAGATCCTTTACATTGCTTTTTCATTCTATGTCATGATTTACCTGAGTTTTGTACGTGGTTTCCGTTTTTATATTTTCATTTTTTCCATAGCGCATGAGCTGGAACTTATCTTCGTTAAACACCATATTATTTTCTGTAGCCCATAGAAAGACCTGATCTACATCTGACTGGAGGTTTGCCGTGTCCTCTATATTGCCTACTCTCATGAAGATCCTATTGTCATCTGCAAAGGATGATACAGTGCTATAGGTTGTGTTCTTGTCTATGTCCGATATGAGGATGGAAAAAAGTACTGGAGCAAGCACAGTACCCTGGGGGACTGAGCTCTTCACGGTTGATGGGCTGGATTTTATTTTGTTGACTATTACACATTGGGTTCTGTTGGTCAGGAAATTGTAGATCCATCTGCCTATTTTTCCGGTAATTCCTTTTGAACGCATTTTATGTGCAATAACGCCATGATCACATTTATCAAAAGCTTTTGCGAAATCTGTGTAAATTACATCAGCGTTTTGTTTGTCTTCCATATCATCTAATGCCATATCATAGTGGTCCAGCAACTGCGACAGGCAAGAGCGCCCTGTTCTGAAACCGTGTTGTCCGGGGTTATGGAGATGCTGTGATTCCATGTATTTTGTGATCTTACTTCTTAGCACTCTCTCAAAATTTTTTATAATGTGCGATGTTAGTGCTATCGGTCTGTAATTTTTTGCCTCTGCCTTATTTCCTCCTTTATGAAGTGGTGCTATCTCTGCTGTTTTTAGTATATCAGGAATAACGCCAGTATCTAGGCTTTGTCTCCACAGAATGTGGAGGGCCTGCGATAGTGTTTTTTTTTACAGTTCTTGATGAATATGGAGTTCCAAGAATCCGGGCCTGGTGCAGAGTGCAAAGGCATACTGTTTATGGCTTCTTCAAAATCTAGTGGGGATAGGGTGACGTCTGATATATGATTTGATGTTGGTATCATATCCATGAAAAATTCATTTGGGTTATCAATCTTTAGTGCGTTTAATGGCTCACTGAAAACAGAGTCGTACTGCTTCCTCAGTAGCTCGCTCATTTCTTTGTTGTCATCGGTGAAAGTTCCATCTCCCTTTCGCAGGGGCCCGATACTAGATGTGGTTTATGATCTTGATTTTGCATAGGAGAAAAAATATTTCGGATTTCTCTCTATTTCACTGATGGCCTTTTGCTCTCTTTGCCTTTCCTGGGTTTTGAATGATTCTTGTAGCTTGAGTTCAATTGTTTCTATTTCTCTACCTAAACTTCTTTGCCGTTCTTGAGATAAGGTGCGAGCATACTCGGGCAATGAAAATCAATCCTGTTCTGTGAACTTTTAATTGCCTTTAACAAGTTTTTGTTAATGCTTGGTGCATCACTCAATAGGCCAATACAGGACCATAATAGTGAAAATAGTCATACTCATACAGTAAAATATTTTGTACTTCATACACAGATAAATATGTTGCTGTTTAAACATAAATATATATCAATGGTTAGCATAAAATGGTTTTTTAAACACTTCTTCAAAATAATTATAATTTGTTAGTATAATAATCACACAAATGTTCCTTTGCAATTTGAGAGAGAAAATAGTTTGATATATTATGTATGAGCAACAGCGGATATATAAGGACAATGATCAATAGTAATTCATATTGGTGCAAACGATTTACAAAGTATTTGTCATGAGCTTTTAATGAAGAACTAAATACCTGGTTCTATTTTACATTCTGTTAACTTCAGTTTATATGTACATTTAACATGTACTAATCTGTACATTTAGGTAACTGTTAAATACGTACTATTAACATGTGTTAATGTGTACTTTTAACACGTGTTAATATGAACTTTTTAGCATGTGCGAATCTACTTTTAACACGTGTTAATGTGTACTTCAAACGCGAGTTAATGTGTACTTTTGCCATGTGGTAATGTGCACTTCTAACGCGCGTTAATGTGTACTTTTAACACGTGATAATAAGTACTTTTAACACGTGTTAATGTGTATTGTAACACGTATTAATGAGCACTTTTAACGAGTGTTAATGTGTACTTTTAATACGTGTTAATGAATACTTTTAATGCATGTTAATGTGTACTTTTAACGCTTGTTAATATGTACTTTTAACGCCTGTTAATATTTGCTTTTAACGCGTGTTAATGTGTACTTTTACACATGTTATTGTGTACTTTTAACAAGTTAAAACTGCATATTAACACACGTGTTAATGCGTATTGCTTAAGCAAACTATTAAACAAACTGATATTTTAAAGATTAGTTTATATTAATATTAATAGAAGGTTTTGGCTTACTATATTTTATGTAGAAGCTGCACAAGTTTATTGTATTTGTTGTAGTCCCGAAGGTAGTCGTTGTATTTACTTGTTTAGCTTGTAGTGCACTAATATATTTTCTGTAGCATTCCTGTAAGCTGCTTTAATTTCAGAGGATGGTCTTTTCCGTGTTGCTATATTTCGTTCCAATTTATGTTGTTCCACCAGAGGTTGTTGAACCCGTTGTACCCCCTGAGGTAACTGGACCTGTTGTACCACCCGTGGTAACTGGAGCCGTTGTACCCCCTGAGGTTGCTGAATCCGTTGTACCTCCTGCGGTAACTGGAGCCGTTGTACCCCCTGAGGTTACTGGAGCCGTTGTACCACCCGTGGTAACTGGAGCTGTTGTACCCCCTGAGATTGCTGGACCCGTTGTACCCCCTGAGGTAACTGGACCCGTTGTACCACCCGAGATTGCCGGAGCCGTTGTACCCACTGAGATAACTGGACCAGTTGTACCACCCGAGGTCGTCGCGACGATGGACAAGGTGGTGAAGATGACGGTGGGCGGAGCAGTGGGTACAACCACAGTGGTTCCACCGTGTTTGCTGATGGTCTGCTGTACATCGTCGATGTCACCGAATATTTTGTCTCTACTCGCTTTCCCATTTGTTAATACAGTAGTGAAAGTGGGAATGCATGATGTAACGGCTGATTGAATGCTTCCATCGTCTCTCAATGATCCATTTAATATCGATTGTATCATTATTACCAAAATACTCAACATGACATTCAGCTGATCAACAAAAATGTTTATAAGATCGGGGTTTCGTCCTGTTATCGCATATTGAGTATTCAAAGCGAGAGTTTGAATTCCCTGGATAACTTGAGAGGGGCTGCGTTTCCTCCTGCGTCCTTGTATTGATGCGGTAATTGCGTTCGCAAGATTTTGAAGTAAGGCTTGAACTTGGGTAAGAGCCGTAATTGCATTATCTGTGGCATTTAAGGCGGATTGCAGTGAACTGAGCTGTGAATAGAGAGCAGCCAGTGATGCATTGGTGGTTGTAGTGTTTACATTGGTAGTTGTGTTGAGTTGTACGGTTGTGGTACTCTGAGTAGTAGTAGTTGTGTTTGGTGCTGAGGTTGTTAACTGGCAACTGACCAAGGACTCCGGGGTGATTATCAGGGGCGAGATGGTAGGTACAGTCACAGTGGTTCCTCCGAGTTGGCTGATCAGTGCCTGAATGGTGTTGATCTGGTCGACCGTAATGCTTCTCCGTGCATTAGCAGCGGATATAGCCTTGTTGACGCTAGCTAGAGCAGACAGTGCGCTTGTCAGCAGGCCTGAATTGACTGACAAAGACCGAAAAACTGCACACGATAATATCTGGGCAAATGTGGTCTGCGCCACAATTAGCTGTGGAAGGAGTCCATTGGCAGTGGTAAGGTCGCCTCTTGTCAACGCGTCTGTTGTGTTGTCAATGACATATTGGATCGCCAGAATGTCTTGTGAGGTGCTGCGTCTCCTCCTCCCTGCTCCAAGTATTGCGTTAATTGTGGTAATAATATCATTAATTTGAACTTGAAGGGTTTGCAATGTTGTTAATATATTAGTTGTGCTGTTTAGAGTGGCGAGTAACTGGGTGAGTTGGGAAGTGAGATTAGCCAGTAATGCTGTAGTGTTCACTGTAGTTGCTGTATTGGCTGCAGTAGTTGTTATATTGGCTGCTGCAGTTGTTGTATTGGCTGCTATAGTTGTTGTAATAGCTGCTGTAGTTGTATTGGCTGCAGTAGTTGTTGTACTGGCTACAGTAGTTGTTGTATTGGATGCTGTAGTTGTTGTACTAGCTGCAGTAGTTGTTGTATTGGTTGTGGTAGTTGTATTGGCTGCAGTAGTTGTTGTATTGGCTGCGGTAGTTGTATTGGCTGCAGTGGTTGTGTTTGCTGCGGTAGATGTTGTATTGGCTGCTGTAGTTGTATTGGCGGCAGTGGTTGTGTTTGCTGCAGTAGTTGTTGTATTGGTTGCGGTAGTTGTATTGGCTGAAGTGGTTGTGTTGGATATTGTGCTGGTTGCATTAGTCGTGTTAGCTGTAGTAATTTGCGTGCTTGATACTAAGGTCGTTTTCGTCGTACTGAAGGTCGTCACACCTAAAATGGAGAGTTAATTACCAACATTACAATTTTGATCACAAACACACACACACAATTATGTGTGCTTTTGAATTAACAAATTCCCCTTTTGGACTGTTGAAAAATTAGATATTGGAAAATTTGCAATGTTTTGGAAAATTATCAAACAATATACGCATTGTATTCGAACCAATAATTAATAAATTCGCTGTTTTTATACTTGCTATATTATATTATGATGAGTCAGCTGATTGTAAAAGTGTTGAAAAAACAAGATTTTGCTTATCATTCACGGACAAATAATATTTAAATAAAGTTTAATATAATTTATGTGAATAATATTTTAAACATATGGCCTTGATTGAAATATTAGACAATTATTTAAGCAAAATTTGAAGAACGATTAATGAGATAAAATAATTAATCATCCAGTTTGTTCTGCGCCTTTGTGTTGACTTCTGGGAAGTTTAGACACGTCACATCTCCAAAACAACCTCCATGATGTGCTAAGATTTGTTATTTTACGTCGATCCATATTTGGTTGTCGTTCCTATACTGTCCTTTGAATCTGATATCTTTAAGGCTCTGATGATGTGTTGAAAAACATGAAGTCGCTCAATCATATATTATTCGGTTTCACTCTTTAGATTTGAAATTAACTAAATCGGGTGTGAGTGATAGTGAGTCTTTTTCTATGTTTTGCGTAAGACTAACATCTAAAGATTTGAAATTTCGAATTTCGCAACATAAATACTCTGTAAGACACGGCCAATTGTTTAATGCTTTGTTTGTTCATTTGTCAGAAAACTTTCACTAAATTGATTGGGGGATGGCTTCTTCAGTAACGAACTATAAAAGCACTTTCAATAGGAACATAATTGAATCTGCTTTGATATAAATTACAAAATCATGTAATTTGAACATTAGCAGTGGTTTGTATAATTTAGATCCATTTTTGATTGATCAGTAAAAGGGCGATATGAGTAGGATCACTGATACACATTTGTCTCACTAATACCTTGTTAATATGCACTATATCATTACTTTTCTATTAATATCCACTATCTCATTAAAGCCATTAGAACATAAGAATGAAGGTAACTGCAGAAGGCCTTTTGGCCCATACGATGCAGCTCCCATTTATTTCCATTGAATCCCATTCATATATGTCATTGTACCTCACCTCTTTCTTGCCTATATTTATCCAATCTACTGACTTGCAAATCTAGCCTTCTGAAGATGTATTATTAAATACGAAAGTACTTAAGGAAATTCCTGTTTCAATCCTTCCTTCGTGGTCTGACACACACACACACACATATATATATATATATATATATATATATATATATATATATATATATATATATATATATATATATATATATATATATATATATATATATATATATATATATATGTTGTATCTAGTAGCCAGAACGCAGTACTCGGCCTACTATGCAATGTCCGATTTGCCTAATAAGCCAAGTTTTCTTGAATTTATATATTTTTCTATTTTTTCTTATGAAATGATAAAGCTATCCATTTCATTATGTATGAGTTCATATTGTTTAATTTGAGATAAAACTAACGTACATATATGACCGAACCTAACCTACCCAACCTAACCTATCTTAATAACCTATTTGCATTATGATGCGTGGAACCGATGACAAAAACAAGTGCACTTAAATGTTCAAAACAAGACAAAGGCAGATTAAACAGCTTTCTTTAACTGGGCCTCTACCCTTCAGACCGAACTATTTGCCTTGTTCCTTGCACTGAAATGTGTACAAGTCTCCAAACTTGATACATTAATTGTAAGTGACTCCTTATCATCCTTAATTGCTCTAAACTCTTTAAGACATAACTGTAACATGCTCGTGTCCGAAGCTAGGCACAAATACAACAAAATTATTAAGGATGGTAACAGAGTCCATTTCATGTGGTCTCCATCTCATGTTGGCCTCCGAATGCATGATAGAGCTGATGAGTTAGCCAAAGAATCTGCCTTTAAAGGAGCCGTTGAGTGTAACCTTGGATTGTCAATGAGCAATCTGAGAGCAGCAGTACACCGAGAACTTCAACAAGATCTTGTAGATCTGAGGCAAAGTGAAACTGACACCAGTAATTCCATCTATCATCATACTATCATGCAAGAGGAGCCACACATCTATGGATCATCCAATCAAATCAGCAGACTTCTAGATGTTACTACTGCTCGGCTTAGACTCGGTTACAAGTATCTCTGGGAATTCTCATTATCTGCTGATGTAGACCTGACCAAATGTAAACTGTCAACAAAATTATTCGCACACCCTCCGTCACTATGTGATGGAGTGCGAAAAGATACGTGAATTTAGAGACAATTCTATAACCAATGTTCCAACGATGTGTAAATATTTCATCCAAAATAATCTGCTACCATAAATTTTAGCCAAATATCCCCAGTTTGCTAACTGTAGGTAGTAACTAAATGATTGTAACCTATCCACCGCTGCCCACTGGATGGGGGCGGTGTGCAGGACAAACATATCAATTGTGACACTAGCTCTCCACATATGTCAGTTGCTTAATTTAGAACCTGTACTTGAGGTCGATCTCGAACCCATTGTTGATGTGACGACTTATATTGAATTTTCTAACTAGCTCATCAAGATTGCAACTTCCTTAGCTAAATGAATTGTGGGGTTCAGTCCCTGTGCCCATTATGTGCCTCTGTAACCCTTTCCACTACCGCCCACAAGATGGATATGGGGTGCATAATAAATGAACTAAACTAACTTTAAAAGAGGTGCCTAAATGATATTGCCAGATTTGTTGCTGTTTACATACTGTACTAATCTTTATGAAAGATTACAAATTAGACAGCCTTAAACACAAAACAAGTACAGTCCAGGGGATGATGTGATTCTAACATTAGGTGACCTCATACTATATTAAGTTATGAGGAATATTTCAGAAAGCCTAATGATTTGCTAATTGACACACAAGAACTGTTTTTTACATATTTTACTAAATATTATGGTGATGAAGCGGAGGACAAGAAGAAGGTGGAGAAGGATAAAGCTGGAGGAGGAGTTACCAGGAGAAAGAGAGAGAAAAGTGGACTTACTTGGATAACAACAGAGACATTTGCTTCCTTTGCAACCATTTTTGTTTATCAATCCTGAACAGCGCTTCTTACTGGAGACACAGTAACCACCAAGAACATTGCAGGCGCTCAATGGCTTGCAAGCTTTGGCACAGCAGACGCACTTCTTCTTGGAGCAGCCTTTGGCTATCTGGCGCTCCGTCGACCCACACTTCTTCTTGCACACGCCCTTGTATATCTTACACTTCTTTTTGGGTTTCAATGCACAAGCTGTTTGCAAAAAAGCATTATTATCAATTCTAACTACAAATTGTCTAGGTCATCCATAATTTGAAGTCTAGAAGGAAAATATGGATAACCTTAGTATTATTTCTGTGTAAACACTCTATGCAAATAAAGGGACCCAGTCGATGGAACTCACTCCCTAATGAATTGAAAAGCTGTCCAACTTTTGCGTCATTCAAAAACAAAAGTAAAAAGTACCTAATTTCATCTACATAGTTTTTTACCTTTTGCTTTAAAATTGCACTGTATCTATTGCTACCCAATCTCCCAATCTTTATGTACCCAATCCGAACATCTTTACCATTGTGATCATTGCTGTCTTCTTATATGTGCTATCAATCTGCTGTATGGTGTCTGTTAATCTTGTTTAAATTACCAATCAAGTTGTCAATGTAATCAATCAGAGCTTTAATATACCAATGTGCTTTAATATACTTACTATTCTCTCTCATCTCATTTTTTTCTTGCAATGTATCTGTTATCATTTTATTAATTCTGCTAGAATTTACCTACTTAAAATTATTTGTTAGATTAAGGACCTGCCCGAAACGCTGCGCGTACTAGTGGCTTTACAAGATTGTAAATACTATGCTATGTATTCTCTCTAACCCAATGTACCTTCTTGTATATAAATAAATAAATATATAAATAAATAAATAAATAAATAAATAAATAAATAAATAAATAAATAAATAAATTTACCTACATAATGCACATGTGCGATAAACTAGTTCTTCAGGCCCTTGTGACATTTACTGGTTCAAATAGCTCACGTATGCTCTCCAAGGCGGTTCTTGAAATACTATCTAATGTAAAATTAGAGTCACTATTGTGGCTAGAACACCTGACTCTCAGCCACCTATCAACGAACGATCATACTTCATCACCTCGTACCATCAACTAATATGTTCAAACAGCAGACTGACAGACTTCACACCGTCAAGGTCAGCTAACTAGCGAGGACAGCTAATGTCTGCCAGCCTGTGTGTACTTGAGCAAGAATGAAGACTTTAGATTATTTAGTAGTGAAGAGCAGATCTTTCCAGTATATGGGGAGGTCAAGGGCTATAATTAATTCTTTTGTAATCAATTTCTGTGTGTAGGAGAAAAAATGAAACGTCACATCCATTACAAATATTTTGCTTAAGCAAATTTGTGTGATTCCAAATTACAATTTGATATATAATTTGACCTTAAATTTAGCTAGGAATGGTGAAACACTGTAATATAATTACAGGTTTAACAGATTTGCATTTACATATATATATTCTGTTTTTCATATCAAAAACAATCATTGCATATCTAAAAGGACTATAAAAGCTACGGGCTCACGGGAGACATCTCCCGTCACGCAGGGTGCAGTCGCACCCCCACAGATCTCCAGTATCATCTATTGATACTGGTAATGGCTCAGAAATGCCTCCACTTACGGGCTATTCATGCCCGTGCCACCTTTTGGGTGGCTTAATCTTCGTCATTCATTCGTCGCTACGGGCTCACCATAGCCTGTGCTACTTGGAACTTTATTCCAGGCAGCGAATCTTTAACAACAACAACAGCTATTTGCAGCACGGGACATCTCCCGTCACGCAGGGTGCAGTTGCACCTCCACAGATCTCCAGTATCATCTATTGATACAGGTAATGGCTCAAAAGAGTCACCACTTACGGGCTATTCATGCCCGTGCCACCTTATGGGTGGCTTAATATTCATCAATCAATCAGCCTATTTGCAGGAGGAAGTGCTCAGACAAGTCCACTACGGGCTGCGGGCTCACCATATCCCGTGTTACATAGAAATTTTGCTCCGAGTACCTGAATTAAAAAACAAAAACAACAGGAAAAGCTGAATCTTTTTCAAGAAACTATGCTGAATTTCCCTTTATATTCACCGAAATTAATGTTCTCAGATATACTCTGTTTATACACACTATATGCATTGTCTTTTTAAGTTATCTTATGGCAAAGAAAAACACAATTTAACCATCCTTCAAATAATGGAAAATCAAACTATTAGCAATAAACAAACATGTGAAGACAACAATATTTCAACTAAACACAAACTACTATGCTCGTATGCTACTACAAGATATATAACAAAATACAAATATGATCGACTATACAATGAACAATGACAAAATAATTAAAAGCTACAAAATAAACAGAAACAATCAAAACGGAAAACATCAGACCGATAAAGCCAACTATCTTGACTTGGCAAGACTTTCTTTAGAGAAGTATGCAGTGGAATGTTGCTTAGGCCAGATTAATAGTTGCACAACGTTAAGAGGCGTTATAGAACAAATCAAACAATAAGAGTGCAATATTCAACGAAAACTCTAACTACATTTACGCTAGTAAACTCCACAATATATAAATTACAAGTAAAAGTTTGTTACTTCCACATTAATCCGCTCAGCTTACCAAACAATATAAGAACGAGAGTATTATTGCAAGGAAAGAATTATCAGGGGTAAATGTTTAAATTTGATAAATACAATATAATATTCTTAGTAAACGTATTAAGTAGGCAGCTCATTGGTTCAGTACTATATTTAAAACTATCATGAAGAAAAGAAAACCAGTTCTAAACTTGGCTCATATAAACTGCTAACCAACGTACGTTATTAAACTTAATAACTTTCGAGCTTTCCTTTGGGAGATCTGATTGTAATTGACTTGTTCTTGAATGTTTATATAAATAATCTCATGTCCATTCCACTGACATAAACAACATTCACTTGAAAAACTTACCTGAGAGGCAACACTCGCACGACTTCCCCTTGCACTTGACACCGGCAACTTTGGTCTTGCAAGTGTTTTTCTTCTGGCACTTCCCGCCGGCCTGAGTACACTTTTTATGATGTTTGCACTTTACATGAGAACCATGGTTCTCCCCCGAGTGGTGACCGTAGCCAGTTGGGTGATGGTTCTCCCCCGAGTGGTGACCGTAGCCAGTTGGGTGATGGTTCTCTCCTGAGTGACGAGAAATTTTACTACCAGAGGACTGCTTTACCTTCCCCTCCTCTGCCTTTTTTACTGCGGCTTTGTTTCCTCTCTTTTTTGCCTTCATTTTATTTTTTTGTGATTTCTTATCCTTTTCTTTATTTTGATTTTTATTATTTTTTTGGATTTCCTTAATTGTTTTGAATTTGTTTTTCATTTTCTTGGGATTTTGAAGTTTTTTGAGATTTGTCTTGTTATTCTTCGCCGCATTTTCTTTGTTTTTGCGTCCCTCCATTTTAAGCTTCTTTTGACCGTTCATATGTTTCTTGGTAGTTTTGTTTAATTTAGTTTTTAGTTTACCTCCCTTCTTTTTGTTGCTTTTTACTTTCTTCGACATGTTTATGTCTTCCAGTTGACGGTTTCCTTTCTTGTGTTGCTTATTTATAGGTTTATTTAAATTCTTACGGAATTTATTTTGTTTTCCAACAGCGGCCTTCCTGCCAGTAACTTTCCTTCCCTTAGAAGCTTTCTTGTTGGTGACTTTTCTTACCTTACTGTCTTTCTTGTCGGTGTCTTTTCTTCCCTTAATGTCTTTCTTGCCAGTGACTTTCCCTACCTTAGAAGTTTTCTTGTCAGTGACTTTTCTTCCCTTAGCGTTTTTCCTGACGGTGATTTTCTTTTCCTTAGCGGCTTTCTTGCCGGTTACTTTCCTTCCCTTAAAAACTTTCTTCTTATTTACCTTTTTTCCCTTAGCTGATTTCTTGGCAGTGTGCACTTCATTCATAGTCTTGTATCTGTCAGTTCTTGCAGAGATGTGTTTTTTGCTACCCTGACGCATCTCTCCGTTCCGTGGGCTTGTTTCTTTCTTTTTCTGTCCATTGCGGCGTTTTTCTTCATTCTTTGTCCAGGGACCTTTACCCCGTTTTTGAGTTTGGGGTTCACCATCATTATTGACGCGGTCACCTTCTTCTTTAATCCTAATGTGACGTCGTTTTTGTTCATTCTTGGCTCTGCGAACTCCTGCTCTTCCCTCGGGTTTGCTAGAACTACTGTCGTCGTGGTCACCTTTTACATAATAGTCGTCCAGGTCAGAGCCTCCAGCTCTCTTGTCTCGCGGGTTCAGAACTATTCTCTCCTGTTCTTGTGGTTCTGCTTCATTAGTTTTTCCATTAACATTTTCCTGTAATTCAGAAGATTTTCTTGCAATAAAAACATATAAATTGATAGAGATGCCGAACTTAAATTTGTTATCAATAACTCCAATTATCCCTCAAAGATTCGAACCAATGCCGCCTGAGAAACAACCTAGTATTATACACACTCATCCAATGATAGCGTCATAAGTATTGAGAAGTTGTGAGACTTAAATGCATCTAGGGAGTTATTTCATCAAATATATCCAATTATTTCACCAGTTCCTCAAGGGATTATTAAAGTTATTGTTGAAAACCGATGCTCGAGGGCCATTCAAGCTTTACACATAATATACGATAGTGCGATCCTAGCATATTCAAAGAATTCATAACTAAGAATGCTCACTTTCCACGAGTGTAGCGAGGTACTGGAACAATATGTAAGATTCACGACGTTCCAGTAGTATTGGCACGTTGTGAAACGTATATACTTCCAGTGGATGTTAATGTTTATTGATGGGGAATAGCATTGGGCTGCTACTCTGGCGGGTTGTTTTGAATCCGCCAGAATGTTTGAATGTTTTGAACCCGCCAGAAATATGTACTTTACCTGAATAATTATTTGTATTTGTATTTGTTTGTATGTATATATATATATATATATATATATATATATATATATATATATATATATATATATATATATATATATATATATATATATATATATATATATTGGCACGTTGGTACAGAACGTGAGTGAGTGAAGAAGTATGGCATAACATAGTAACATAGGGATATTAATAGGGTATTACACGCATGTAATACCCTATTAATATCCCTTATGTTGTTATGGATTTTGTGGACATTATTACAAAGTATGCCAGTATCTTATATGGCATTCTGATTCCTAAGGGAATGGTAAACCAACTGGCTTATGTGTAAACATCACAGAATGTAACTGGTGGAACTATTCTGCGACCACTACTGGAGGGAGTTGCAAGATATTGAGTGCACAGAGAAACAATGAGCTGACGGCAGCTGGCACATAAAAATAATGCTGTCAATGTTCCCGAGGTTACATAGTGTCCATCTAACAGTAAAACCTCTGAAAACGGTATGAGATAAGAGAGCACAGAGCATTAAATACACCTGTTCAAGTCAAACATCGCTCCTCATGAAGCAAGCAACGGAACCTATCATGAGTCAAAGGACGCCCCACACAAGTGTAATATCAGCAAGAGTCCTTCAATGCTCGTCTACCAAAGGTGAACTTAGTCCACACAGACGACTTTCATTAAGCATATATATAATAGTAGCGATCATGGAAGTAAAATTGTCGTGAGTTGAATTTCCACCAAAGTCAACCTGCAAGAATATATTAGTGACACAACCAGTCCCGCAAACTGCTAGACATTCAATAAAGTACAAATCCTGCAAGAGCAATCATAAGCTTGGAAAAAATCGCTCAATGGAAAGACGCAAATATGTCATACCACTGGGATGTCCAGTCGACTCAGTCATCTGGACATCTTAGCCGACTCGGGGATGTCCAGTGTCGACTGGGAGGACGACTCCAATAATAAAGTCGTGTGTCATAAGGTCTTTGTGCACCATATTAAAGATTTTAGTTATAAGTTTTAACAACATTGTTTATTAGCTGAAGATGGGCAACAAAATAATAGCTATAAGAGCCGTAAATTATTGCCCATAACAAGCAATAGCTTGCAGTATTCATATCTTTGCAATAACTTATAGTTTCTCGTTAGCGGAAGATGAGAAAGGAAAATATGGGAATATATGTGAAGGTAGGGCAAGGGAATATATCACTGGTAAAGTAGAACAATGAGACATTCCTCTGCCGGATATAGATTAATATATAAACAAATCTTATAACACAATGATTGAATTTATCAACAAGAATTAAAGCTAGTTAAAACTGGACAAATTTAGGTTTGAACATTTATGGTTCTGTAAACTGTAGACAGTTTACAGAGACGCAGGCGAACACGACAAACTACAAAGCAGTATTAGGAAGTAAAGTCTTAATTACATTAGATAAAAAAAACATACGCAAGCAAGGGCTCAGGAGGCCAACTGCAGTGCTCGAGTAAAAAAACTAATATTTTGTCCTTTTCAAAAGTCTATCAGTAATGGCGTATGTTTGGGTCGTGTTTTAATGGTTCGTCCATACCTGCAACAGAAGCAAAATGCAGACGATGACACAAGCCAAAACCAAAGTCTTCATGCTGGTGGTGTGCAGCTGTGGCTGCAGGAGTGTCACGGCTCTTATCTCAACCGTCGCTGCTGCAGAGGACTACACCGACGAGGGCTCCAGCAGGGACTCAGAGCTCAGATCCACAACCTTCTCTGACCACCGCCGAGAAAGCTCTGACACTCAAAACCCGGCAATGCATATATATATATATATATCTATGCCTCCACCTGCGGCATCGCCTTACAGGTGTTCGGATCATTTCTCAAATGATGACACAAAGGGTGAACAGGTACGTATCTAGAATAGAATATCAGTATATGTAACCATTGAAGAATTCATTGTAACAAGCTGAATTCTTTTCAGACGTTTGTACTTCAACATTTGCATGTTTACACAGCATATTTTAAATAAAAATACAATTGATATTTTACTACAAAAACAAAAAAACGGCCCACCTACTCACGAAAAACTTCCCAGACACCAAACAGAACGCCTTGAAGGAAATCAACGTCGTCTATGCCTTCACATGCCCACTTGGGGACTGTAAGCCCCCAAAGAACTCAGTATATAGGCAAGAAAACAACGTCTCTTTCTAGGTGATTAACAATGCACAAACAGCTTCAGCTTCAGCTTCCACTTCAGCTTCAGATAGACAATGTAAACATTAGCAATAAAAATGATGGAAAGTTTCTCGGCCTATTCCTAGACAAGAGACTCAACTTCAGTACCCACATACAACACATAACTAAGAAAGTCTCTAAAACAGTTGGTATACTCTCCAAAAACAGATATTATGTACCTAACTCTGCTCTCATCTCTCTATATTATGCACTAATCTATCCCTATCTTAATTATGGTATCTGTGCATGGGGTTCAACCACTGCAAACCACCTCAAGTCCATCATCACCCAGCAAAAATCTGCTATCAGAATAATAACAAATTCTGCTTTCAGACAACACTCAGCTCCCTTGTTTAACTCCCTAAACATGCTAAACATAATCTCACTCCACAAATTCTCTTGTGTCAACTATATTTACAAAACCAGGTACTTAAATGCAAATCCTGCTCTGAAACTCTCCCTGGACAGATGTAATAGGACCCATTATCACCACACCTGAAATAAATATCTCTTTGATATCCCCAGAGTCAAACTTAATCTGTGTAAACACTCTATGCAAATAAAGGGACCCAGTCTATGGAACTCACTCCCCAATGAAATGAAAAGCTGTCCAACTTTTGCGTCATTCAAAATCAAAAGTAAAAAGTACCTAATTTCATCTGCATAGTTTTTTACCTTTTGCTTTAAAATTGCACTGTATCTATTGCTACCCAATCTCCCAATCCGATCATCTTTACCATTGTGATCATTGCTGTCTTCTTATATGTGCTGTCAATCTGCTGTATGGTGTCTATAAATATTGTTTAAATTACCAATCAAGCTGTCAATGTAATCAATCAGAGCTTTAATATACCAATGTGCTTTAATATACTTACTAATCTCTCTCATCTCATTTTTTTCTTACAATGTATTTGTAATCATTTTATTAATTCTGCTAGAATTTATCTACTTAAAATTATCTGTTAGATTAAGGACCTGCCCGAAACGCTGCGCGTACTAGTGGCTTTACAAGATTGTAAATACTATGCTATGTATTCTCACAAACCCAATGTACCCTCTTGTATATAAATAAATAAATAAACAAATAAATAAAATAAATAAACAACAGGGAAAATCATCGATAGATACAGTGATGGCAGGAGACTCGACATCAGCGAGGCACTACACATCAAAAAGTCAACACCAGCAATCAACAGCCAATTAATGCGTAACTATATTCTACCCACTTCAAGACCCCGAACCAACACACGAGCAGCAAGAAAAAGTATGGACCAATAGGCCTTCTGTAATTACTCCCATTCTTATGTTTTCATACCCAATTTATACCCATTGATTCGTGTTCTGTCACCTCAACCAAAACTTTTGTGTCATATCACCTCACCCAAAACTTTTGTGTTGTATCACCTCACCCAAAACAAATAAAAAGTATGATGTATGTTATGTGAAAACACGGGAGACATCTCCCGTCACGCAGGGTGCAGTCGCACCTCCACAGATCTCCAGTATCATCTATTGATACTGGAAATGGCTCAAAAGGGCCACCACTTATGGGCTATTCATGCGCAAGCCACCTTTTGGGTGGCTTAATCTTCTCTCTCCCTCTCTTATGTGAAAACCAAGTCTTTGAAAATGTAAAAAGCCTTACGAAACGCTTCTAGGCGTCAGACCAAAAATAAAAAATTTAAAAAATGAATTTTGGAGAGTTAATTTTTCAATTACCCTCGCCATTGAAGAAAAACGTAAGAAATATTGAGAAGATTCGTGTTAGAATTATTTATCTAACCATTTCGGTCATATTCAACAACATGTTTACAAGAAAGACTGCTACCAAAATATACTAATATATATTAGACGGGCCAAAACTAAATACTACGAAGATAAATTTACTCAAATAAAGAGCAACATTAAAAAAACTTGGAGAACAATTTCACAAATATTGGGATCAAAGAAGATTTTAAATAACAAACCAACACTCCTGTCCAATAACGATGGTCAGCTTTCAGCCTCTGATTCTGCTATTGAGTTCAATAGGTTCTTCTCTTCCATTGGGTCATCATTTGCAAATGATATTCCATCTTCCAGTACTGATGTTAAGGACTATCTTACAGGTAACTATCCACAGTCTCTGTACCTAAAGCCTACAAATTCCACTGACGTTAATGAGATAATCCTTTCCCTTAAAACCAAGTCTAGTGCCCTTGAGGAGATAACAACTTTAATTTACAAAAAAGCCTCCAGATCTTTAGCCCCTGCTATTGCATTGCTCTTCAACAAGTCACTTGAACTCCAAACCTTTCCAGATATTCTAAAAAAAACGAGAGTAACCCCTGTCCACAAATGTGGTGATCTCACAGATGTTAACAACTACAGACCTATATCAATCCTGCCTAACTTGTCAAAAAAATTTAAAAAATTAATCTACAGGCAGCTTTACTCTTATCTAGCCAAACACAATATACTTAGCTCTTGTCAATATGGCTTCAGACCCCAAAAAAACACTAACGATCCACTTATTAGTACGATTAACTTGATTCATGCAGCTCTTGATAAAAATGAGTTTCCTGTTGGGTTATTTATGGTCCTGCGTAAGGCTTTTGACACTGTCAACCACCAAAACCTTCTTCTTAAATTACATCATTATGGAGTCAGAGGACACTCCCTACAATACCTCAAGTCTTACCTTACTGACAGGCTCCAGTATGTTTCTGTGAATAATTCAATTTCTCCCACCCTACCCATAAACATCGGTGTTCCTCAGGGCAGCATACTTGGCCCTCTCCTCTTTCTCATCTACATTAATGACCTTCCAAATGCCTCCCAACACCTCAAACCAATTCTATTTGCTGACGAGATAACCTTCATTTACTCCAGTCCTGATCCCCTTGCTCTAAATGCCACAGTAAATACTGAGCTAAATAAAGTCCATCTTTGGCTAACCGCCAACAAATTCACCCTTAACATTGACAAAACTTTCTATATTCTGTTTGGCAATAAATCCTCTAATGAAATAAATCTCAGAATAAACAATACCCAAATTTGCAACAAAATAGATGGCAAATTCCTTGGCGTTCTCATTGACCACAAGCTGAATTTCCAGGGACACATTGTAAATATATCAAAAAAAGTTTCAAAAACTGTTGGTATTCTTTTTAAGATCAGATATTATGTACCCCGCCCTGTTCCACAGAAATGACACTCTTTAACTATTGGGTTTATTACCTCCCAGTAGCACCTGTAACTAAGTCTGAGTCTGGGAATGGCTACTGCAATGTCTCTGGATATCATTTTGCCAGGCTTGAAAAAGTAGTACCCAGTGGCTTGTTCGTACCACATTGCAGTGGATCTTCTTTTCGCTACTTTGGCTCTGTGACGACTTTTGATAGTTGGGAGCATTTTCTTCTTGATTTGCTACTTTCCCCCGTCCCATCCCAAATCCTTATCCTGACCCCTTTCCAGTGCTATATAGTCGCAATGGCTTGGTGCTTTCCCCCTGATGATTCCCTTCCCTTCCTTAATCTGTGAAAAACTTGGAAGTATTTTAACCTGTACAACAGGTAGAGCAGTGGCAGTTTTTGCTAGTGAGTCTACCTTTTCATTACCAACTCTGCCAATGTGACTTGATATCCAATTTAGGGTGATTGACAGCCCTAGATTGTGTGCCTCTTTTCCTATATGTAGGATTTCTGTGAATATTTGTATCTTATCTCTGAGCTGACTGGATAACAATGCCTGGAGCGAAGATTTAGAGTCGGTATGAATGATGATATCATGTAAATTATTTCAATTGCTTAATTAATGTCCTCCTTCATGGCATATAATTATGTTTGGAATGTTGAGCACCCACTATTCAGGCTCCAGTAAGCGTCATGGTTGTTAGTGTAAACTGTTGCTCCAACAGAACCTCTTTCTTGATCAACTGATCCGTCTGTGAAGATGTGAGTCGTTGTCGGTCTTGAGGTGGTTTCCATTTGTTGTTCTATGACTGCTTTGAGCCTTTGTGAGTCACATGTTGATTTTTTTTAACTGGTAATCCTTCAATGATTGTCTTTTGACTCTATTCCTCCAATGGAGGAGGCTGCTGAAAATGTTGATATGGTCTATCTTTTAGAATTTTTCAGTGCTTCATAATATTACACTTTCTGAGAGAGATTGGTGGGAAAGGAATGGAGAAGGAAGAAAAGGGAAGAAGGAAGAAAAGGGGAGAAGGAAGAAGGAAGGAGAGGGGTGAATGGGGAGATGGGAACTGTCGGCGAGAGACGAAGTGAAGGTGAAATATTATATATCAACACACTGATATATTCCATGCATGAGTAATCGGAGCGGAGGTTGTTATCTTGTCAGGATTGTCATTTATTCTGGACCTGCTTTGCTATTGGTCGGTCGGGACGGTAGGTATGGTGGCGCTGTGTAAATGCCAGTTCTCACTGAGCATTCTTGGTTGTAGCATGTACTAAGGTGTTATCTGGCTGACAGTCGGATGAGAGTGATATGAAGTCCGTCGGCTAAGTTTCATCTCTTATTTTCGCCGTATTTGTCGAT